GGACCTCAGCAGGTGAGACAGGGGTCCCAGGGACGCTGCCCCAGCGAGGCACTGAGAGGCTCCTATCACAGTGTCCACACAGTCACCCGACAATGTGGCGAGGGGGTCGCTCCGGGGTGACATGTGCCTGATGCCCACGTGTGCGATGTGGGGAGAGGCCCCGCAGGAGCGGCAGAGCCGGGCCCAGGTCCCTTCACTCTGCACACGCTCCCCCAGCCCACCTGGTCCCTCCCGCTGCCCCCGCACGCAAGCAGACAACTGCGCAGCATAAAGCTCATCCGGAGACACTGCAGGATGCCCGGCGGCGATGGCCCCGCACCGCACGGCTGCCGTCCAGCAGTGGCCCGAGGAGAAAGCACCTCGCAGCCCTGCCCCGCCTTGCTCTGCGTGAACCATGTCGGTGCCATGAACCCCCAGCCACGGAAGCTGGAATCAAGTCATCTCGGACCAGTCTGTGCACCTCTTCCACCCAATACATGAGCAATTCTAATGCTTTCGTGTCTAAAAGATACTTCAGAGTCACCCAGTTCTCCCATCCTGGTGGCCAGGGTGGCCAGTGTGACACCGCCGTCTTCAGTGGGATTACGGACACGTCACACTGGCAGGACCCTGGCCTCTGGGCTGGCACAGGGCACACAGGCAAGGAAGGCGCTGCTGGCTGACCACGAACAGCCCCGGCAGCACGTCTGCCTTTTATTTTTAATTTCACGCAGCTACCTCCTAACCATCCCTCAGTTCTCAGCCAAGACGGGTCACGTGTGGAGTTTGGACATGCTTTGTTCTTAGAGACCTCCTTTTTTTGTGGACTTTTTTTTTTTTTTTTTTGAATCCTCATCCGAGGACATTTTTCCATTTTTTGTTCAGATAGAGTGGGAGGGAGAGAGAGAGAAACATCGATGTGAAAGGGACACATTGAGTGGCTGCCACCCACACAACCCAACCAGGGCCGGGGGACAAACTGCAACCGAGGTACGTGCCCTTAGCGGGAACTGAACCCGGGTCTCTCTGGACTGCAGGCCGACGTTCTAACCGCTGAGCCAATCCGGCCAGGGCATTTGTAGACTATTTTTATTTTTATTTTTTTTGTTTTTTTTTTATCCTCACCCGAGGATATTTTTCCATTTTTTGCACAGATAGAATGGGAGGGAGAGAGAGGAAGGGAGAGAGAGTGAGAAACATCGACGTGAAGGGACACATCGAGTGGCTGCCACCCGCACGACCAACCAGGGCCGGGGACAAACTGCAACCGAAGTACGTGCCCTTAGCGGGAACCGAACCCGGGTCTCTCCGGACCGCAGGCCAACGCTCTAACCGCTGAGCCAAACTGGCCAGGGCTGTAGACTATTTTTAAAGCAGTTTTAAGTTCACAGCGCACTTGAGCAGAAGATACAGGGACCTCTCAGACACCCCTCAGCCCACACCCCGCCCTGCACAAGTCCCCATCCACACTCCTTACAAATGATGGACTACACCACTGCAGCATCACCCCCGAGGCCACGGTTACATTAGGGCTCACTGCTGGTGCTGCACGTTCCACGGGTTGGACACATGTATGATGACATGTAGCCTCAGATGGAGCAGGTGCACTGCTCCAAAAACCCTCTGCTCGGTCTCCTTCCAACCCCTCGCGAATGGGGATCTTTCTACATCTCCACAGTTTTGCCTTTTCCAGAATGTCATAGAGTTCAAGCCATATGGTGTGTAGCCTGTTCAGACTGGCTTCTTCCATTTAGTAATGTGCAGTTAAGTTTATGCTGGCTTTTCATGGCCTAACAGCTCATTTCTTTTTAGCATTAAACAAAATACTCCACTTTCCGGACGGATCGCATAAGTGAATGGGTGTTTATTTACCCTTTAATCATCGAAGTACGCATCTTGGCTGCGGATTCAAGTTTGGCAGTTATGAACAGTGTCTGAAACATCCCCACGCAGGTTTCTGTGGGGACGTACGTTCTCACGTCTCCGACAGACACGCGACCGCTGGACTGTGCAGGAGGAGTACATGACTCTGCAGGAAGCCGCCAGCCGCCCTTCCACGCGGCGACCACCCTGCACTCCCAGCACACGCGGGCCCGGTGCCCCGTCCGCAGGAGCACTGGGCGCTGTCGGCGTCCGGATGCTGGGCGCTGCGGTGAGCGTGCACTGGACCTCACGGTGCGCACGCAGGACAGGCGAGCGTCCGCTCCGCTGCACTGTCCTGTCTTTTCTGGTGAGGTGTTTGCTCACATCTCTGGCCCACTTTTTAATCAGGTTGCTTGTATTCTTACTGTTGAGTTTTAAGACTTCATTGTACATATTATTTTTAATTTAACTTTTAAATTTATTTTAGAGATTTCCATGGATTGAAATTTAAACAAAATTGTAACTATTTTCTATAATCCCAACCTCTTCCTAAAACAAAACAAAGTGAACCCAAACTCTACCACTGAGCAATAAAACAGTATCAAAAGCTAAAAACCTCTGATATTAGCAAATTCTCTATCCTCTTGTTTAAAACAATATTATACTCTTAAGTGTCAAAGGTTCAGTTCTGTGAACTCTTCAGAGTTACTGATGATAAACTATTGTTTATTTTTTACTTTACAGTTGAAAGAAATTAGCAAAAATTGTCTGGGAAAATTTTTTTCTATTTTTCATCACCTGAAGATGGATAATAATTATTATCAAGTCTTATAATAATAAAGTGTTATAATAACTATAGTGTGTTATTGTGTAAATATATATTGTGCATATATATAGATATGCTTTTTTAATTTTTTTATTTTTTTATCCTCACCCGAGGACATTTTTCCATTTTTTGTACAGATAGAGTGGGAGGGAGAGAGAGGAACAGAGAGAGAGAGAGAAACATCGATGCGAAAGGGACACATCGAGTGGCTGCCACCCGCACGACCATCCAGGGCCGGGGACAAACTGCAACCAAGGTACACGCCCTTAGCGGGAACCGAACCCGGGTCTCTCTGGACCGCAGGCGGACGCTCTAACCGCTGAGCCAAACCGGCCAGGGCTAGATATGCTTTTTTTAAAAACTGATACTTTGTTGCATCTTTTGCTTTGCAGTGAATACAAAATTTATTTAAATTTTTAGAGTTATATTATTATGACTAAAAATAATTTAAGCATGGAATATCTAAAAGAGAAATAAACATTAAGATGAATTGTTATAACAACAGAGGCTATTTCTCAGACTATAACACACTGACAGGGAAAAAAACAATAATACTAAACTTTTTAAAGTTACTTTAAAAGATGGATTTCTATACCATATATAAAATGATTTTCAAGGAATATGTTGTGAAATATTTTTCATGACACACCCTTTATATAGAGTATGCATTATTTCTTTGTCAATTTAATTAAATTTGGTTTGAAATAAAATATAGATTATGCCAAATATCCAGTCATTATTTTCCAGCAAATAGACTATATCATTGAATAAGGTCAAGTGGTAAAAAGTGTGGATCTTTGGCTGATAGAAGCCTGTACATGTCAAAATGATGACAGTTACATCTGTCTTAATGTATCTACTGCCAATAAAGTGTTGCGAAAATCACAGTGAACAACTGTTTATAATAAAGAGAAAATACAACGATAGGGTCAAACATAACTTTACGTACAAAGTCGTTTTAGCCAGGACACGTGTGCACTCTGCGCGGACTGACACAGCCTGCACCTGACCCGCCCGCTGCAGCTGGCCGAGGGGGGCACGCTGGTCCCGCCCGCTGCGGCTGGCCGAGGGGGGCATGCTGGTCCCACCCAATGCGGCTGGCCGAGGGGGGCATGCGGGTCCCGCCCGCTGCAGCTGGCCGAGGGGGGCATGCTGGTCCCGCCCGCTGCAGCTGGTCGAGGGGGGCATGCGGGTCCCGCCCGCTGCAGCTGGTCGAGGGGGGCATGCTGGTCCCGCCCGCTGCGGCTGGTCGAGGGGGGCATGCGGGTCCCGCCCGCTGCACTGTCGAGGGGGGCATGCTGGTCCCGCCCGTGCATCGTCGAGGGGGGCATGCGGGTCCCTCCCGCTGCAGCGTTCTAGGGGGGCTGCGGGTCCGCCCGCTGGCGGCTGGCCGAAGGGGGCATGCGGGTACCGCCCTCTGCGGCTGGCCGAGGGGGCAATGCTGGCCCACCCATGCGCTGGCCGAGGGGGGGCAGCGGGTCCCGCCCGCTGCGGTCTGTCGAGGGGGCATGCGGGTCCCGCCCGCTGCGGCTGGTCGAGGGGGGCATGCGGGTCCCGCCCGCCCTGCGGCTGCGAGGGGGCATGCTGGTCCCTCCCGCTGCGGCCTTGGCCGAGGGGGGCACTGCGGGTCACGCACGCTGCGGCTGGCCGAGGGGGCATGCGGGTCACCCCCCCCGCGCAGCTGGCCGAGGGGGCATGCTGGTCCTGCCCGTGCGGGCGCCGAGGGGGGCATTGGGGGGTCCCGCCCGGCTGCGGCTGGCCGAGGGGGGCATGCGGGTCCCCCCCCCCGCTGCAGCTGGCCGAGGGGGGCATGCGGGTCCTGCCCGCTGCGGCTGGCCGAGGGGGGCATGCGGGTCCCCCCCCCCCGCTGCAGCTGGCCGAGGGGGGCATGCGGGTCCCGCCCGCTGCGGCTGGCCGAGGGGGGCATGCTGGTCCTGCCCGCTGCGGCTGGCCGAGGGGGGCATGCGGGTCCCGCCCGCTGCGGCTGGCCGAGGGGGGCATGCGGGTCCCCCCCCCCCCGCTGCAGCTGGCCGAGGGGGGCATGCTGGTCCCTGTCCACAGGCCTGAGCCGGGCACTCGAGCTGCGAACATGCTCCGCTCAGCAAGGTGTGGCTCAATCTCGCCAAACCTCCTCAAGTTTGTCCCTTTTTTCCTACATGCTCCCGCCAGAGTATTTTTAACATTTTAAACTTTGTTCCTTTAACGTGTCCGTGATCGTTTATTTAATTAAAACAGTGCCTTACGCATCTTCGGACAGATGGCGGGGAAAGCGGCTGCCTACTGGAAAGCAATGCACACTGCCTAGCTGCCTGAAAGTTGCGACCTTAGTTACCTTCCTTCGTTGATGAGCTCGATGAACGCGAGTCCTGCGTTCTTCTGAATGGAGTTCTGCCATTCCTGAAAGAGACACCAGACCACGTGTCAGAAACGAGCATGGACACGGAGGAGCATCATGGTCAAGGGTCGTGCTGATGCTTTAACACCATCCAAGGGATGATATTTCCAAATCCTTGAAGGGAAAAATGAACAAATACCACTGTATGACTCAGTGTAGAAGGTGCTTTTGAACGCCCACTAAATTTCAGGCTGATACCAACTGAGAGAAGGTAAGATCACAGGTAGAGATCACAGGTTCTCAGCACAAAATGCCCTTCCTTCCAAAAGACACCAAATGCCTAGTGATGCAGCGATACAAGGACTGGAGTATTTAGAATGAAAATTTCAGTCACTGCTATGAAAAATTTTCACTGAGATCATAAAATGAAAATTAGAAATATAAACAACATATTTAGATTTATTTGGAAATGAAATGTTCTAGTTACCTGTGTAATCCAAATGGAAAAATATATAAAAATGTAGTATGATAATAAATAAATTCTTTCGAAATTTATAAAAAAGAAAACATTTAATATTAAAACTATATCCAAATGTTATAGTCTTCCTATGACATATTTAGAATATGCTTTAAAGTTCTTTTTTTTTTCCTCACCCAAGGACATTTTTTCATTTTTTGTTCAGATAGAGTGGGAGGGAGAGAGAGGAAGAGAGAGAGAGAGAGAGAGAAACATCGACGTGAAAGGGACACTTCGAGTAGCTGCCACCCACACGACCAACCAGGGCCGGGGACAAACTGCAACCGAGGTACATGCCCTTAGCGGGAACCGAACCCGGGTCTCTCTGGACCGCAGGCTGACCTTCTAACCACTGAGCCAAACCTGCCAGGGCATATTTAGAATATGCTTTAAACAAATTTTTGGTTATTCGTTTATCCCAGTAATTTCAATTTTGGGGTGTTTTTAAATATAGCTGGTAATTGTAATTTTTGGATTCAAATGATATCCCTTTCTACAATACTATAAATAAACACTTCCCTAATACATTTTTGTAAAAACTTCTTATTGATCACTTATGTCACTCACCTATAGATTTTTTATCAATTCTTGACACGTAAAGGACCAGCCACACAGAGGTGGTTAGCTCCCTGCCATTAATTCAGCTCCACAAAAGATCAGTCTCTGCTGACCCTTCCTTCTCTTCCTGATCACATCCCTTTACAGCTGTACACACATGCTGTGGATCAATGTGGTTCCAAAAGTAGGGATTTGGTATGAAAATAGTATCTGCCCTGAGTAAAGTTATGAAAAACTACAGAAGGACAAACCAGAATCCACATTTCCGAGGAGAGAGAACCACAGCCTGGGAAGAAGGAAGGGGTAGCCTGGGGCCAGTACGATTTGATAAGAGACCTAAGTGATGTCACTTTTAGCCAAGTCACTGTTCTAGCTGCCACAACTCTTAACTAAAGTTTATCAAAATGGTAAGATTGCTAGTGTCTTTTACAGAGCTAATTAAATCTTTTAAATCATTTCGGTTGAATAAAAAATTATAGGAAACTTTTTCCTACATTTTAACAAAATGACTTACTACCATCCTCTTACATATTTTGCATATTACCATCATATATCCTATATTTACTGGAAATAAGTATCCTACAATGAGCCACTTTATCAGGAATACTTACCATTTATTGTGAAATCATCTTAAAGAACTGATTCTTACGTAATAAGAACCATGTCACTCTGAATAGATTTCTGCAGACAATTTTTTAAACATGATTTTTCTTTATGACGCTGCTTGTACATCAAGTCTCTTTATCAGTATACGCTTCTGATATGAATAGTATTTCTAAAGAGGATATTTCAAAATGCATATATGCAGGCATTACATATACATTCCAAACTACACTGTGTCTAAAGGATCACAGAGTAAAATGTTTTAAAAACCTCTGTTCAGATCAAACAAAAAACATCTGTAAGGAGCCTTCAGCCCATGAGAGGCTCACTTGCAATCTTTTACAGAGAAACAGTAGGCCATACACCTGAGCTAAGCTAAAGACATGAAAGCTGATAGGATGAGCAAACCAATGGAAGCGCATGACTGCTACACTTCATCCAATAAATCAGTGTTTTCCGAGTGATTTGTCGTTTCGGAGCAGGGGAACGAGTAGGAAAGTGCTCTGTGGGCCATCCAGAGGAGACAGTAGGGACCTACACCCCAGTTTGAACGGGGAAATGAAAACGAAGAGGTGAGTGAGAAGTCACAGGTTGTGAAATTGTTCAGGTGGGTGTCAGAGAGAAAGGTAACAGCATGAAGACACTGGAGGAGACACATTTGGGAAACTGGAAGGCTGTCTTTGGTGTATATCCGTTGGACTGAGAATGATGATGGCACATCAAGAAGGACTGCAGAATTTGGAACAATTTAGAGAGAAATATTTACCAGGACACAGCATTAAGCAAGTCTCCAAAGAAGAATAAACAGAAAAAGGATCAAAAGACCCAGGCTCATTCTTGGGAGCTATTCACATTCTTTTTTTTTTTTGTCCTCTCCCAAGGACATGTTTCCATTTTTTGTTCAGATAGAGTGGGAAGGAGAAAGGGGAAGAGAGAAAGAAACATCGACGTGAAAGGGACACATCAAGTGGTTGTGCGGGTGCACAACCCAACCAGGGCCGGGGACAAACTGCAACTGAGGCACGTGCCCTTAGCAGGAACTGAACCCGGGTCTCTCTGGACCACAGGACAACACTCTAACCGCTGAGCCAAACCTGCCAGGGCAGGAGCTATTCACATTATTAGGTTAGAAAAAGAAGCAGTAGAAAGGGACAAGAAAAGATCTACCATAATTTAAGAAGAAGAAGAAAAAAACTATTATTCACAAGAAAATAGGCCACTATATACAGTGGCTCAGAAAAAAGATACAAGAGCCTTTAACCACTAATACATTTTCTTTTTTAATGATTAAAAAGTTAAATTTTCTTGTAAGTGAATTGTCAACTTCAAATACGGTAAAGCAGAAGGAATAATGCACATGAAAACAACCACACAGACACAGATGTCTTCCAAGGGCGCGAGGGCTGGGGCTGGCCTGGCTGGTGAACCAGGCACCCAGCTCTGCAGCGCCCTCTTCTTCCAGGGCGTGCTGGGTGGGGCCAGAGACAGCCTGTCCCAGGACTGGAGCCTAGGCTAGCCCCTCTCAGAGCAGCAGCAGAACTGTGTTGACTTGGCTCGAGTTCTGGGGTTCACTGGACGTTGGCCCTGGTGCCAGGTCTGGAATGAGAACTGGTGACGGAGGGGACTCTGGCTCTGGACTTGGCCCTAGTCTAGAGCTGCACTGGAGCGGGGCTACTTAGTGACGGACTGTTCTGTCTCTGGAGTTGGCTCCATACTGTCCTTAGCTCTGAGCCGGTCCCGCAGATGAAGCTGCAGAGCTTGTGCAGGAGGGGCAGGGCTGACCGTACAGAGGCTGGGTGACTGCACGGGGGCGGGGGCAGGGCTGACCGCACAGGGGCCAGGCTGACCACACAGGGGCCGGGTGACCGCACGGGGGCCGGGCTGACCGCACAGGGGCCGAGTGACCGCACAGGGGCCGGGCTGACCGCACAGGGGCCGAGTGACCGCACAGGGGCCGGGCTGACCGCACAGGGGCCGAGTGACCGCACAGGGGCCCGGCTGACCGCACAGGGGCCGGGCTGACCGCACAGGGGCCGAGTGACCGCACAGGGGCCCGGCTGACCGCACAGGGGCCGGGCTGACCGCACAGGGGCCGAGTGACCGCACAGGGGCCGGGCTGACCGCACAGGGGCCGGGCTGACCGCACAGGGGCCGGGCTGACCGCACAGGGGCCGGGCTGACCGCACAGGGGCAGAGGCTGACCGCACAGGGGCCGGGCTGACCGCACAGGGGCAGGGGCCGGGCTGACCGCATGGAGGCCGGGCTGACCGCACGGGGGCAGAGGCTGACCGCACAGGGGCCGGGCTGACCGCACAGGGGCAGAGGCTGGGCTTGATCCAGCACCTGAGCTGGGGTCTAAGTCATTACCCAGAGTCCTCTGGCACCCTGACAGGAAAGACAGGTGGAGACAGGAGCAGAAGAGGGATGCCAGGAATAAACACAGCAACCAAAACACAACAAAAAGGAAACCTGAAACAGGAAAGACAATGAAGAAACAAGAGCCCACACTGCAGCGACAGCTGACACGCAGAGATGCGCAACATACAACATCAACACAGGAGACCGAAAAATCACAGTTAAAAACAACTGTCAGAAAATAGAGAAGATGATGCGATGCAACCGGAATGTTAAGATGTAAGGAAAAGGAGATGAAGGAGGGAGGTGGGAGGGTCTGCTACAAGGCCACGCCCCCTGTCAGAACTGCACAGGGAACAGGGAACAGGGACCAGGGGACATCAGCAAAGAAATATAAACTTTTCCCCAAGAATTAAACCCATGACACAAAATCTCCAGCAAGGCAAATCATAAAATTTGACGACACCAGGATTAAGGAAAAGGCTAACAGGAAAAACGTTGAAATAAAAAATCAAGAATTGGAATCTCAACACCAAAACAAGACAGGAAGAAAGAAAAGAATACCTTCACAATTATTAGAAATAGAATACTCAAACACGATATCCAGCCGAACTATCAATAAATACGAAGATAAATAACTGTATTTTGAGACATGCATACATATTTATTTTTCGCCCCTCTTTCAAGAACTTACTGATGGGCAGAGGAGCTAAATAGCCACCTCTCCAAAAAAGACATACAAATGGCCAAGAGACATATGACGAAATGCTCAACATCACTAATCATCAGATTAAATTAAAACAACATGAGATTTCACCTCACACCTGTCAGAATGGGCGTCATCAACAAATCATCAAACAACAAGTGTTGGCGAGGGTGTGGAGAAAAGGGGACTCTAGTACACTGCTGGTGGGAATGCAGACTGGTGCAGCCACTATGGAAAACACTATGGTGTTACCTCAAAAAGTTAAAAATTGAATTGCCATTTGACCGGGTGATTCTACTTCTAGGAATATACCCTAAGAAGCC